TTACTTTTTAAGTAAAAATGAAAAAAAAAATTGGAAAAAGACCAAGTAGGATTCTAGAAAAGAAAAAATTAATTAAAACTCAAAGATTGGATTAACAGGGCTTTCAGTGTTGGAAAATAATGCGCAGAATACAGCATAGACAGAGAACTCCTGAAGAAGTGAGAGAAAATGGTGGAAAGAAAATAATCAAAGAAACACTGAGACTGGTTAATGGGAATATCTCATGGTTCAGAAATGCATGCAGAACCAGAAGATGAGGCAGTACATGTGAAGACACAGGAGAAGCTTGATATTTCAGGTTTCCCAAACCAAAGAAAATCTCTTAAAAGCAACTGGAGAGAAGAAAAGTTACTAAGAATAATGATTTGACTGACAGCAGTAATAGAAGTGAAAGATGGTGAAAAGCTGTCTTCAGTTTTCTGGGAGAAAATAGTGCTGTCAGTAACTGAGTTTGCTATCAAAAGATCCTTAATTTGCAAAATTGTATGTAAGTATGCACTGAGGAAGAAGGTAGATCATAAAAGAAATTATAATAGGAATTAGGCAGTTTTGAAGCGCTAAATGATAATATCATATGTAAAAACTTATGAAATTTTAATAAACAGGAATGTAGAAGAAAGTCTCTCATCCTAAATGCTTACATTGGAAAAGAAAATATTTTTTGAATGTGGCATTTATACAGATCAGAGTACTACCCTGCCATAAAGAAGGATAAATTTGAGTCATTTGTAAGAAAATGGATGTATCTTGAGACTATAGTGTTAAGTGAGATAACTCAGACACACAAGATTAAATAGTGCATGGTTTCTCTTATATGAAAAAACTCAATGTATGTTAAATATGACATAAAAGACAGATAACCGGAAGAAATAGAGAAAAGGAGGTATTATAATTCAGTGTGGACAGTGTATCTAAAAGTGTACCTTGAGTTAGTACAATTGTCTTAAACGTGTTTTATATGTTCGTTGGCTTGTTAGCCTGACTTTCAATCTGTATATAAGATTAGCTTTATAAGGTCCTATAAGATTAATAAGTGAATTTGATGATGGAAAAACAAAAGGGGTAGAGAGCAGTGGAAAAAATTTAAATGTGTTGTGTATATGTACCAAGTCTATATAGAGGATGTAATTAGTATGTACTGCAAAGATGTAACAATAAAAGTCAAAAAAGAAGCAAAAAATCAGAAGCTAGGCATGATGGTGTACACCTGTAATCCTGGCACTGTAGGAAACTGAGGCAGGAAGCTAGTAAGTTTGAGCCCAGCATGGGCGACTTAGCAAATTAGTGCCTGTCAAAAATGGTGGATGACTGCTGGGCATGGTGGCAAACACCTGTCATCCCAGTACTCAGGAGGCTGCGGCAGGAGAATTGCCAGGAATTTGAAGCCAGCCTGAACTAAGCAGTGAGACCCTGACTCAAAAAGCAAACAAATAAAAAACAAAAAACAGTGGATGGAGCAGGGATGTAGCTCAGTGTAAAGCTTTGGGTTCAAAATCTAGTAAAAAATTAAGAAAGAAAATTATAGAAACAAATGAGCTAAGCAACCATTTTAAGGTGGTAGGAAAAGAATAACAGCACAAACCCAAATAACATAGATGGAAAGAAATTGATGAATCAGAAAGTGAGTGGGTAATACGGAAGCTTTAAGAAGTTAAAAAGTTGATTTATTGAGAAGAGCAATCAACTGATACATATCAAATGAGATTAATGAAGGAAAGCTAACATAATGACACAAACACCCTGAGTAATGAAAAAAAGATGAATACACATGCAGAAATAAGAGGATCATAAGTGGAGAGAGAAGCAGTTATATTAGTAAATTTGAATGTTTAGACCAAATGAACAAGTATACATAGAAATGCTGTTTATCAGAAATGATTTAAAAATTAGTCTGAATGGCCCTTAACAAAGAAATGGGATCATTTAAAAAATATATTAAAGAAAATTCCAGGTGATGTGGCTTTATTGGCAAGCTTATACTTATTTGAGAAAATTTTCAAATCTCTTTTGTGAGGCATTAAAAAAAAAAAAAAAACCGAGTCTCATTGTGTAGTTTACGCTGGGCTTGACCTCACTATGTCATTCAGGCTGGCCTTGAACTAATGGCAATCCTCCTGCCTTGGCCTTCCAAGTATGCACCACCATTCCCGGCTAAAATTTTCAATTATATATAATCTTACCCAAATATAAATAAGGGGACTGTTTTCTAGCTGAGTGGAGCGTAAATGAAGACCATTTCAGAAAGGAAAACCATTATTGTCAGTGTTGCTCATGAATATAGTTGTGAAAATCTTAAAATACTAACTAAATGCAGCAGATATAAAATTTTTATAAGGTTGAGACTATCACAAGTCTGCGGAGATGCTCTAATGTCAGATAACCCATAATGCAATTTACCACAGAACAAATTACAAGGAAAAATCATCATCTCAATGGATAGAATTGTAGCTTTCATTAAAATTTTGTACCAAATTATCCTGAAAAATCTCAAAATAAGAATAGATGGGAAATTCATAATATATTAGAGGGTATTATGATAAACCATGGTAAATATAGTTTATAGTGAACTAGTAAATGTTTCCCTTTCAGATCAAGAGAAGAGAAACATATCCATTGTCACCATATTAATTCAGCTTTATAGTAGATGTTCTAGGTAGGTATATGAGAAGAGAAAAAACTGGTAAAGTTACTGAAAGAAGAAACAAAGCTATTAATATTTATATTTTTGGCTCCCCCATCGTGTATGAATTTAATGAAGAAAATAACTAGTGCCAGCTCGTAAAAGAATTAGAATGAACAATGGACACACACCTGTGACACTATTTTGCTTAGTTGTGAGAAACTGAGATGGGCTGGGGATTTAGCTCAGCAGCATAAGCACCTGCCTTATAAGCGGGCAGTTGAGTTCGATCCCCAGTACCCCCCAAAAAAAAAAAAAAGAAAAAAAAAAAAAAAAAGAAAAGAAAAGAAAAAAAGGAAAGAAAAGAAACTGAGACAAGATTCCGTTTGAAATGGTCTTAGTCTTTCACTCCATTTCCCCTTCATATTTGGGGCAATTTATAATGAACCCAATAAATGGTATTTGTAGGTGATACAATTTTATCCTATCATAAGTATTTCCAGAATATACCCACAATTTTTTTTCAAAAATTGAATATTTTTCCTCTTAAAAATCAAATAACAGAAAGTAAATAATAGCAAAAGAGGGGCATAATCAGACCTGAACATAGGTCTTCTAGGTCTTCTAGCAATTCTCAAGATAGTGAGCCGAGATAGTCACAGAGCTCACCTTTATTTATCTCTCCACTGTTTTTGTTCTCTGATGTTCTGGTGTTTTAAAACCCTTTTGTATGTGTTTTGTTCTTAGTATCTTGAAGGCTGTTGTTTTAATATGTTTTCCTATTTGTTTTTGTTTGTTTCAAATGGGTGAGTAAATTGGATCTACATTGTTCCACCTTGGCTGGAAACAGAAGTCCACTTAAATTACATGGCTCATCATTTGTTGAGTAGTCTTCTCTTATTAATAAAGTATTGTTTTAATAACACGCTTTGCTCTGGTCTAGTTGTTTAGCCTTTCCCTTAGAAGCATGCTCAGATTTTGCTTGTTCATTTTTAAAGTAACTGATAATTTAAAGGCCCAATATGTTAGGACCTATAGAGTAGGAGCCTAGTGGTAGATAGTTCCTGAAGCATTTCAGCGCTTTCTTATGCTACATGCTTTGTTATTAATGGCTGTTGAACTTGTGGAGTTTTGACCCCCTGATGTATCTCAAAAATGATAATGAAAGACAGACTGAGAACAGTCATGGACAGGCCCATATGACTGTATTATATTCATGCATTGGCTTGGAGTGAACAGCTCTGTGGCATTACTCTTGAGTTATAAATTCCATCTTCGAGCTTGTGTAATCCAGCTGGGGCAGACCAATAGTGATTTGTAGAAATTTTCCTGTTCTTGGTACATTGTTATTATTTATTTTTTAAAACACAGAAAACTGTCCAGATATTAGCTCATATATTACAGATTTGTGACTAGACTACAATAGACATGGTGTTTTTCTAAGGAGTCTATAAAGAATGTGGCTTAACTTGGCAGGGTATGATATAAATTCTTGTGTTTGAGTATGAATTTTATTTATACTTATATATCAACTGTTCATTTTTATGTTAAAATATAATTCAGATATTCTTGGCTTACCTCAAATATTCTCTGTATCTCACAAAATAAAGAAAAAAATGTTAGGTACTGCTTTCCATCTTTCAAAAGATCCTTCAAATGTGGCCAGACTGTTTCAGAAACAGCAATTAGCTTATCCCTGATAATAATGACCAGGGAGAAAAAAAAAAGAAATTGAGATCTTTGAAATAAAGAAATCATTACATTTGGTTGCTTTTGGCCTCCTCTGCTGGCAGACCATCTGCAGGAGCGCTCACAGGCCCAGGACTGCTGCCTTTGGGTCCTCAGGGCTCCTTCCTTCCCTTTTCCTGTGCCCTGAGCTCATCTGCACTAATGCTGAGAGCCAGGAATATGCAAGATAAAACAAAGAAGACTCTGACTTTTGATTTACATTATTTGAAACTAAATAATTAACATCAGAATAATGAGGAGTTGACTGTCTCATGCTGAGTTATACTCTTTTAATCCAAAGGTATCTTTTCCTTAGCATTTTACCCTGTCCTAATCATAGCGGCCTATGTAAATATTTGGGGTTTGGGTAGGATGAAAATAAAATAGGAATTAGAAAGAAGATGCAAGCCAGGGATTTAGCTCAGTGGCATGAGTCCCTGCCTTGCAAGCTCATGGTCGTGAGTTCAATCCCCTGTACCAAACAAAGAAGAAAGAACATGCACTTTTGAAAAATAAGCTTTCAGAGAGATTTTAAAAGCTTAACTATGTTGAATGCAATTCCCATTGCTGTTCCTACCTCAGCACAGTTTTGGTTTTGTTTTGTGTTCTTTCTTGGGGGGTAGTGCTTAACAGCTTGTGTTTTTCTTTTCAGCTACTAAGTCAGGATTGTTGCCTCCACCACCTGCACTTCCTCCGAGACCTTGCCCATCACAGGTAGGAGACAGATCGGATTTTTGTCCCCCATTTGGTAGGCTAGTGGCATTAAGGCTTGCGAGGGCTGATCGGGATAGATCTGGTCTGTCAGATTCTCAAGATAATACCTGGGTGAAGAAAGCAGAGCACAGTTTAGTTTCTTCTCATCCATTCAGCCTCCCAGCCTCCCGCTGGAAGAAAGGTTCATCAGTAAGCTACCAAGCAAGCATGTACTAGCAGATTGTTCACTGAGGGTTGCATGTGGTTTTCTTTTTCTTTTCAAGAGTACTGGGGATTGAATCCATAGCACTCACACTGACCTACATCTTAGTTACCTCACCCCCAACTCCTTTTATTTTGAAATGGACTAATTATGGTTCATGTCTAGATGTGCCCCCAAAGCCTCATGTGGTCATAGGTGGGGATTTTTCAGAGATGGCTGGAGCTAGTGTGTGTTATGCTGGAATTGATTCAAGGCACAGTGCTATGATCAAGAACATGAGGATTAAGGGTATGAGTACTACCTGCTCTAAGTAGTCTGGATAAGATATAAGGGGATCGAAAGAGCTGTGGCTGTCCTTCGTTGCTTTGCTGCCTTCCTCCTGCCATGAGCTGTTCTCTGCAACACCACTCTGCCTTGGAGCCAGCCAATTATGGAATGCAAGTTTTACTGATTGTGAGTTAAATAAACCTTTCCTCCCTTAACTTTGGGTGTCAGGTACTTTGTCTTAGCAATGAGAAAAGTAACTAAGACACAGGATCATGTTAATTACCCAAGCTGGGCCCAAACTTGGGATCCTTTTGCCTTAGCCTCTTGCAGTGCTGGGATTACAAGTGTGTGCCATTGTGCACTGCTGTTTGTTTTTATACAGAGAGAGAAATAGCAAGTGTGTCTGTCTAGTTAGGGTGAGGGTATGTATAGTGCATGCAGTCTGAATGACTATATTTTCATTAACATTTTAGGAATTGTGTTGGTTCTATATAATCTATAAAAAGTAAATGGTCATCAACATGGAGATAGTGCTGTGATCTGAGCCTATGGTGCTTTCTTTCGGGTAGTGATTGTTCCCCGAAAGATGAATTGAAGCAGTAGGAGTGGGCAAGTGTCACTAAAATCTGTTTCACCAGTGAACTAGTTTTGCCTTATTTACATGTGCTACTATGTGAGAAGCAACAAATGTGCAGAATGGGTATAAGTGCTACAGAGTTTTCTTTTCCTTAATTGCGGCTGAAGAAAGTTGCTGTCTTTAAAGACTCTAATTTCTATAGAAAGTTCTCTGTGAAGACAGTTGCAATGCCTGCTTCATTCTTCTAGGTGGTTCAGAGCAATACCTTTCCATGTGGTACATCTCAGGATAAAGGCAGTGAAGCCTTTAGTGTTTGCTTGTTCTTCTGACAGACAGTTGAATGGTCTTTAAATCTACTCAACCATGAGATTCAGATACCATGAGGTGTGGCTTCTTGCTTTGGTTTGAAGGGTACTGAATAGCTCAGTTCTTTTTTTAAATTATTATTTAAAAGGAAAAAGAGAAAAAACAAAACAAAACAAAACAGTGTAAGGGTACAAGTAATACAGAACTACAAAAAAAAAAACCCAGAAATCACCAGTTAATAGATTACACATTATCATCTTAGAGATAGTTGCTCAAGTCACAGGATCAAAGCATACAAAGTGGACATTCAAACAGTGAGACTGCAAACAGTTGTGTTCAATGATCCAACCAAAAACATTAATATGGTCATCTATCCTAACACACCTAAACACACTTGCAGTTGTATCCTTTAGAGCACTTTTTTTCTCTCTTTTTTTACAACAAAATTAACACATTTGGGGTTTTATTACTCCCATAGTTCTTATTACTTTTTTGTTTGTTTGTTTGTTTTTGTTTTTTTTTGGAAGAGAATAAAACCAAATATGACAAAACAAAGCTGTCAGTCAAAACCAAGGATAGACATAGCACATGATGTAAAATCAGAGTACAAGTTTATCAACAATGGTTACCATAATGCCTCTTGCTTCCTTAAAAAGAATTGCCTATATCATTAGGTATTATAAAGTTGAACAAAACAGTAGAGAACAAGACCAATAAAACCTAAACATTGTAAACATTACAGGACTTCAAAAGAAGGTAATAGTAAACCAGAATAGCTCAGTTCTTAACCTGCATGTATACAAGTGAGAACTCCTTGTCCAGAATTCACCGTTAGCTTTAAGAGATATTGATCATTTATTAAGCAACTATTGAGTCCTTTCTGTTTATCTAATGCCAGACCTTAGTTCCACCCTGAGCCTTTCCTTGGTTATATTTTTTGCTCATTCAAGATTATTAGTTATGTTAATTGTGCATCTACAGTATGGACCTTCAGTGCATAATTTAATCTTCACAAAACTTTATAAAGTAGGTACTAATATTATCCTTTTCTTACTGAGAAGGAAATTGGAATCTACAGGGCTTAAACACAACACCAGGTTGGAATAGCTAGTAGGACCAAGCTTCTTAATTACAGTCTTTAGGCTTCTCCTCTCCCCATCACTAAAATCAAAGTGTCAATATCTAGAGCAATAGAGAAGTCCCCCTGCATTTGTAACTGAGACATTAACCATGTGACAGGTCCTAGATTGGTGGTGGCAAACCTATGGAATTCATGCTATTTTTTAATTTTAAGACAAAGAGTGTTAATCTATGAGTTATTTTTTTTCTAAACTGAAACCTGTCTCCAGGTTTAATTGCAGTGTTGGTACTTTGTGATAGATAAGTGAGTTTTGGGTTGCAGTTTGGGCGCTTGCCATCACTGATCTAGATGAACCTAGATGCATTGAAGCCCCTGGTAATGACAGCAAACTGGGCTCCCTCATGACAAAATTAGCAGACATTGCAGGAGCTTATCTGCCAGCTGCTAGTTTCAAGCTTTGGCTTGAGAGCCACCTGGATAAATGTGCGGAAGACCTGTCCCAAAGGGCTTTTGTAACCAACCTCCTTATCTTCCTTTCCACTGTTGCACAAATGACAATAGGTACTTCCTAGTCTGAAATGTGCAACTGCTATCAGCAGTCCTCATCTGAGCCACTTGAGGTGGGCTTCCTGCTTGCGTTGGGGCTTAGTGAGGGAGGATCTGACAGGGAGACTAGAAATCTCAAGTCACTGTTAATGAATGAGTCTGCTTCTTTGTCTACCAGATTTCCTAGCACAGTGTAAACACTGAGCCCAGCACTCAGCACGGGCCTCCATCTCAGCTGCCTAACTGTGGAGAAGAGAATGCAGGAACAGGTGTGAAGGAAATGTAGGCAGAAAATTGCTAGGCTCTTTTCCTCCTATTTTTCCCTTTTTTCCTCTTTAACTGGGGTACATATATGAAGTCCTGGATAGTAAACATGTGGTTATATTTAGTTTCTGAGCCATGGAAAATTCTTAATATCGACTCTAGGAGAAACATGCTGACCATCTGTATAGGATACCGTAATCTTTCCCAAACTTCTTGTGATGAAACAGTTTATGGGAGATGTTAATAGGGTACTAGGGTTACACAAACTTGTGGGCTCCTGGCCTTTACCTTCTCTGAGAGATTCATAGTTCATGTGAAACCTCTAAAAGCTGCCTTACTGCAAAACAAAAGGAAAGTTAGTCAGTAATGTTAAACCTGGAAGCTCATGTTTTTATTTATAAAATACCTACTAATATCCTGAGGGCTTAGTGGTTTGGAAACACTATTAGTATACCAGCCTAGAGGTATTGCTAAGAATATTCTAAATCAGTCTTACCTGTCAACTCATTTCTACATTGTGTGATTAAATTTTATGTTATCCCAATAGTTTCTGTAGAAAAGTTAAAAGTGAAAGTTTAGTGTACATTACCTTGGGATTTCAAATTTTCCCATTTCTTTCCTTGCTTTTATGTTCCTTCTTATTTTCTCATGAGGTTGCCTCTACTGTCTCACAGCAAATTTGGTTACAGAGCACTTCAACTTATTTTTCTTTTGTTCTGTTTTAAAAAATATTCCTTGCTGTATATGGACCACCACCCAAACTTTGGAATATGCATGTGATGTGTCTACAGAGACATCTTTAATGGTGCTTAGATTGCAGTGCCATCACCAAGAGCCCTAGGGAGAAACCAGAGAGTCTGGGGGCAATTAAAGTCATTACACTTCTTAGTAGATCTGGAGGAGATTAAAATCAAATTTATAAATTATTTTTGGATCTAAATTTTTCATGTACTTTAACTTGATAAATGGGAAAGACTAGGTTGTTAATAAACAAGAAAATGTTCCCTATAAAGGAACGTTATTTAAAAAAAAAACTTTGTGGCCAGTCAATAGTGATATGTTTTCAAAGTCTAGGTACCCTATGTCAGAAAAATGAGCTTGTAAATTCACATATGTATCTACATATAATAAAATATGTATAATTTTATCAAGTGAGAGAGATGAAGTATAGGTTTTCAGTGTAAAATGCATTTTAGCTGGCTATACTAAGCACTGCTGTGATATGAACATCTGGATTAGGTTATACAAATGGGGCCCCAAAGTTAGGAAAAGGAATAAATTTTAAAAACTAGATCTTTTGTTTTTCATATTGTAGGTAAGTTCAAGGAGGACCAAGTGAATACATAAAAAATTCAAATGATTTAGATCCCTTATTTTCCTGTGGAAAAACTAGAAACCAGACCATGGTCTTTTGACTGAAGTCAGGAGAGAGAGAGTTTTTTTTTTAAAGCCTGATTCATTGCATAAAAAAATAAAAAGCAATTAGAATAAACTGTTTCAGATAGAGCAGTGGTAAACTGAAAATTAAACTTATTAGCTCACTGTGTACCTATAAGTTGAGTAAAATGCCATCGGCAGAGCTTGTGCTTGCCTGGTAGGTCAGTTCTTTGGCAAGGAACTCTTTGGTACTCATAGTTAACTTCCTTTTTGATAGCATTGATCTCATGCCAAATTTCTATAGCAGTTGTGACAGAGCCATGACTTTAGTATAATTATATTTAATAAAGAAAATAATTTGGTTATACAAAGTTATTATC